CAGATCTCTTGCACTGCAGGCGGATTCTTTACCATCTGAGCCATCGGGGACATTCTCTGCCTCTCCTGGCATCCAGACAAAGGTCTCCATCTTAGCATGTGGACATAAACACACAGCATTTTTAACAATCAGGATGCTAAGTACGAAGAATAACAACCACAGAAATATGAGGATGGATTAAACACAAAGCCCTTTGCAGGCAAAAGGAGATCTTAAAAAAGCCATTTAGTTCAAGCTCCTGTTGTTGAACAGAACGAGATTAAACCTTCAAAAGAAGAGCTAGAAATGGATCTCCATGTGACCTCTTGACACAAAGTCCTGACCTTCTGCCCCAGGAAACCACTGCCAACTGGCAGATGTCCGCAGAGGTTCTCAGTGTTTCTGAGAGGAGGGAAGATGGGGCTGGAAATCCACATTGTATGAAAAATGTGCAAGCTTAAAGCAATGTCATAAAACATTTGAATAACCCATTCATTTTTAATCCTTCTGTAATTTCTGTGATCATTTTAAATGTGATGAACTCATCTGACATAAAGTGAGGAACGCAGGAACTTTTCCAGGACTCCTGTTGTAATTCATCACTAACCGGACGCCTGTTCAAATATTACACAGTTCCCTGCTATCTGTCTCTAATAGCAGGAGTGAAGCCATTGCATTTGCCTACTGGCGGGCTTACCCAATAATTACCAAAGATGGCACACTGCCAGTGAGATCCAGGCCCCTGTGAGCGTGCCCTGATGACCTAGTTTAATCAAATCTGGCCTCGAATCCAACAGAACACAGATTTAATTCCTAGCTAGAGGGCTGGATGACAGCATGTACCTAACAGTTTGAGAGAGCAGTGCATGGAAAACTGAGCGGTCTTATGCACCATTTAAAACAGACAACAGAAAAGACTAAGTGATTTCTTATCATCTTGATTGAATAGTCCACGTGACTTCTATTGACTCTGCCTCCCCTCACCCCCAACAACCAATTTCCTAACATTCTGGGCTCTGGGCCTGTGGATTTAAATATTGAAATATGGTTGGTCTCTACTCCTATGTTTTCTGCCTAAGGAAAAGATGGATAGGGAAAAAGATTAACCTCGGTATCCCTGAAATAATGGACCTTCATACGCTGGTGCTTCTAATCTATTCCTGAGGATCATTTGAATGCAGAAAACAAAATACACGCACTGCCAAGTTTCTTTACATATTCAAAAATCTGAATGTATTTCAGTCCCATTTGACATTTAGGTATTTCAGACTCACAGGACTTTCTTTGGTGGTACAAAAAAAAAATTAAGTCTTTAAAAATCTCTAAGGTCTTTAGGAAACAAATTATAACAAACAGTTCCTCACATCTCTCTACATGGTGCAAGTATTTTTTTCCCTTTGGCCAAGCTGCACGGCCAAAGTCCCCCAGCCAGGGATCAAACCCAGGCCCCCCGGCTATGGAAGCTCGGAGCACTAACCAAGAGACCATGAGAGAAGCCCCACAGATTTTTGTATCTAGGATCCCTCTGGCCCTGTTCAGGTGGTACCTGTTGACAGAATGATCTGCTCCATTTTCAAGCAGTTCTGTCTATGACACTATCGAGCTTCACACAATGGGGGATACAGAATTCTGGAAACAAAAAAGACTTTCAGGAGGGGACCCAGTCTGATGCCCAGGCAGGCAGTAGAAGCCAACGGTTAAGGGCACAGCTGGCTGCAAGATCCAGCTTCAACCCTCACCACTTCTGAGCTGGAGAATGAGGGTGTCGGCAGCACCCACCTTATACAGTGTTCAATAAACAAACAAGACAATGAGGACAGAGAAGCCTGGTGGGCTACAGTCTAAGGGGCGGCAAAGAGTCGGACATGACTTGGGGACTGAGCGTGCACACACGAACACACACACACACGGGCTCACAGAGCACTGAAGCAAGTGAGCACTCACTAAAATGGTAGACAGAACCAGCATTTAAACACTGTAAAGTCACATCACTCCATTTAGCAACATGCTATGTACATGGTGCTAAGCACCAAACCTAACACCTCCTACCATATGATAACCCACAAACCCTGCCGTTTAAAAAGCTACTCTTTATGTCCACATCTCTCCTGCTGCAGTGGACCTACCTCTTTACAAAGTAAGCAGAAAGGATCTCTTATTAAAATAATCAAGGCAATTATTTAGATCACAGAGTGATAAAATATTTCAACTCCAAATTTATGAAGATTAATGATAATGAGAGTGCTGGACTGTTCTTAAATATCATTGTTTCATTTTAACATTTATGAAGCTGGTGTTTTCACAGACCTTCCCTCATAGTAAATATCATTCTCCCTATAAAAATGAAAGTGTTAGTCGTTAAGTCATGTCCAATTCTTTGTGACCCCATGAAGTATAGCCCACCGGGCTCCTCTGTCTGTGGGATTCTCCAGGCCAGAATACTGGAGTGGGTTGCCATTCCCTTCTCCAGAGGATCTTCGCAACTTCAGGATAGAGCCCAGGTCTCCCACACTGCAGGCAGGTTCTTTACCATCTGAGCTCAGTGGAACAAGAAATTATTAGCTCAAAGTCACAGGTACCAAATATTAGACCCAAAACATCATATTCTCATTCTTTCCTTGGTATTCCAAAGGCAAAGAAAAAAATCAGGCATAATATCTACAAACAAAGTGAAACACACAGCTAAGCAATTATCTAGAGGGGAATTAACTCACATAAGCCTCCCTAATCCTCTTTCCCCTTTTCCTTCTGCCACTGAACTCATTAAAAAAAAAAAAAATCCACATCGTTTCTTTCTTCAATCATGTACATATGGTGGGAGTGGGCAAGAGAGGTTTCAGATATAAATAACACCAGGGCCTCTTTCCATAAGTCAAATAAACGGTTCTTTTAACTGATCACATGTTCTTCTACCTTGTATTCAGAGGATCAACCCCCCCCCACTCCCCACCCGCCCCCCCAACACACACACAGGAAAGAAATGTGGGGTAAGGGAAATAAACACCAACGTTCACTGGAATTACAGGTACTCTCTGAGGTCTCTTTTTTCCTAATATTTATTTTTATTTATTTCTTTGCACCCAGTCTTAGTTGAGACACGTGCAATCTTCCATCTTCACTGGGACATGCAGGATCCTCTAGCTGTGTCGTGTGGGATCTAGTTCTCCGACCAGGGATCGAACCTGGGCTCCCAGAATAGGGAGCACAGAGTCTAAGCACTGAACCACCAGGGAAGCCCCTCTGAGGTCTCTTGATTGTGATTCTTGTGATAAGCGGGCTTCCTCCAGGGGAGGAAGAGATGGATAAGTGACACCATAACAGAATGTGTTTATCATTCCACAAAGAGAAGCCCCTTGGAGCTCCCTCTAAGCAGTTCTGTCATCAGCACCCAAGAAAGGAAAAGTTCTTTCCCTGGCCACATATTTTGTGTCTATGGCCCAGCCTCGCCCCCATTTCCCAGTCCCTCCTCTGTATGATTCATCAGTGTCCCAGTGGCTGCCACCACCGTCCTGACCATGCCGACAATCACCATGACCTCTACCCATGACCTCACCTACCAAGACCAGCACCATCACCTGTCTGTCCTTTTTCTAACCTCAGTTACCTATCAATCACCAGTCACATTCTCCACCCGCAGCCCTCTCTCTGGGCCCAACACTGTGCTCTATCTCTCTGCCCCTGTATTTGTCAATCAACAGCCATCCATTAACAACAACTTTAACCCATTAACAGCTTCTTATCTCATCAAAAGACTAATTACAAAAACTCAGCAGTAAGGAAAAGACAGCCATTATGGACACACCCAACATTTGGAAGGCAACTCCATTTTCCTGGGGAAAAACTCAAGTTTAAATAGTCCTTAAGAACAAGAATATTACAGAGATGATGATCTACAGAATAAAACCACCTTAGGAGTGCTAGAAATTTGAAGTACACATTCTCTATCACTAAATTGTATTAACTTGGTCATTAATTTGGTTTAAAACATGATTTAGGTTTTCCCTCCTGAGTTTTACTCCTAGAAAACTCAGGCCACCCCTCTGGCCTCCAAACCTACAGTAGCCACTGTCCCTCTGATAAGTTTCTTTCAATCAATCCAAGTGTCCAATCAAAGACATACCCCAAGCTATCACTTTTTCTCCTGTCTTCAAGGAGCAGAACTCAAAAAGCCTCCCTTCCTTAGAATCTGTCCAGAGAACAAAACAAACTCAAGGGGACTCTAATCGCATCATTTTAAAAAACTGTACTTTTATCACAACTTTAATGCCTTAAAGATGGGTGATTTATTTATATTACAATTTTCCAGCATATGGCAATAAAGTGCCTCGTTCTAAAAATTAGTGCAGTCCAACCCTTATCCATCAGATGGAAGTAAAAGGTCCATGCAAGAGATGCCTTTGTCAAATTTGCACAAAATGCCATATGGGCTAGAACAGCCCTCAGAAAAGCGTCTCTCAAGTGTCTCAAATGTTTTAAACTTTCCGCAGTCTTGGTGGTTCAGGAAAGCTTCTATGCATCATTTAATGAATTCTGTTTGCATTTCATTAACTTTTTCCCTCCCAATCTAGTCTTTCTCAAGAAGCACATTCTCTAATCAAAGCAAACCCTTAAAAACGACTGCATCATCTTGTCCTATTTCTGTCAACTGATATTATTAAACACATGTTAACAACCACACCATAACCTTTTGTTGCTGAAAAAGATTAATTAACCCTAGGAAAGAGATGTCTTTAAAGACACACTCCTCAATTTTAAAATCGTTAACAAAACACGTTGCTTGAACTGGAGTTCCAATACATGTCTGAATATCATTCTCACATCTTAAAAAAAAAAAGCAAAACTAAATTACACTTTGGCATGAAAATCCAGTTTAATTCACTTGCATCATTAATAATATTTCCCCAAATTCACCACCAGCGATTTACTTGGAGTACCAAGAAGTCTCACACAACATTTAAGAGGCAACTATGTGTCCCAGTCAAGTGGAATTATAAACTGAATAGAAATCCATGTAAACTTACCTTGACCCACAGAAAACCAGTTTTACTGCCATTGGTGACAATTTGCCCTAGTTGACAATTCACGTGTGGAAACCTTAAAAAGAAAGAGGACAGGAAAATTCAGAAGAAAGGGGCAGGATCCAGGGATATGTAAACAGTACTTCACTACACTACTACGTCTCACTAGGAAACTAAAGTTAGTGTAGGAGTTCTTGAATCTAGACAATAACTGTGCCACAAATAAGCTCTTCATAATGGGAGCTGTTTCAATAAACTCACCATTTTTCCATTGGCTAGGATTTCAGAGATACTTAATCTTACATTCAGATTAATCCTCAATGGATTACATGACTTCAATTTTCTTTCTATATTAATCCCTCAAGTAGTTAATGATCTGAAAACCGATTCTTAAATACACCATATAAATGAAAGATCTTAAGGACTTAAGGCTTTTATCAGGGGAAGAACACCTCTGATACATGAATAATCATGTCCATTTTCCAGATCTTAATTTTCTTAAATTGTACCAAATTTATACTTATCATGCTTCTTACATTCTTAGAATTCAGGAGAAATAAAAAGCCCAAGCAACTATAAATCCTACAATATTAACAATATTAACATTAATTAAATCCTTAATAAAACTGTATTTCAAAATAAATCAGCAAAATTTACTTTCCTCTCTAAACTGCCCAGCGAGAAGAACAGTTGTTAGGTGGTAGAAAAGACACAAATTTTCCTCCCAAACGCTACTGCAAGAGACTACAGAATGTCTACTATTATTAGGCTGACTCATATAAAATTACTGTTACTCAACCATTTTATTACCTGCAAAAATGACAATTTTACCATTTTTCCAAACAAGAAAATAGACAGAATTGGAAAACCCAGGGATTATGAAACAATTAAATCTTCAAAACTACCTATCGCTGTGCACACGTCATTTTTCTGAGACGCATCAGGGAGTCTGGGTATAAAATGTTTCCGCTCCAACCCAGCACATCTTCAGGGCACCTAGAAGACAAGAAATGAATCGCCTCCAGTGTTCGGAAGGGCTGAGAGCACGTTTCTGGTTCCTTCTTCCCACCTGGTCCCTATTTACTGCCAACTGCCTCTGGGCTAAGTATGTTATTACATTACTATCAATAATATACTCAGTAACCCGGCTACCTCAGGACCTTCCCAACCAGCACTCCCACCACTTCCCACTGCTGTGAACCCCACCACAACCACCCCTGCCGCCATGGAGGTCACACGGGGCGCCCAGCGCTACTGGGACCAAAACCAACGGAGCAGAGGCCGTGTGAGCACCTGGTGTACCAAAACCCACATGTTCACAAGCTGGGTCTTCTTCTGAAATGGAGCCGAAAGCACTTAAATAATCTTCCCTCCTACCAGGAGACCTGTTAAATGAGCTCCTATTGTTAAGTTGCTTTTTTTTTTTTTTTTGTATGAACTTGCAGCCAGTTGCAAATTAAACCTTTTGACCTCTTTTTAGACCATCCATCTATTTCTCATTCCCTATGTTTAATATCAATTACCTGAAGATAGTATTTTGGATGGATTAGGTTAAATAAAATATATTTAAACTCATCCTATCTATTGTTTTCCTTTTAAATATGGCTACTAGAAACGTTAATGTGGCTCACACTGTTAATTCCGTTGGACAGTGTTCCTCTATAAAGTATAGCCTGTCTCCTCCTTATTAAACAATCCGTTACACAGACTTAGAGAATGGACGAACTTACAGCAGACAGGGAGAAGGGACACTTAGGGAGTTTGGGACGGACATGTACACATTACTATATTTAAAATGGAAAAACCAACAAGGACCTACTGCATAGCACAGGGAACTCTGCTCAATGTTATGTAGCAGCCTGGATAGGAGGGGAGTTTGGGGGAGAATAGATACATGGATATACACAGCTAAGTCCCTTCGCTGTTCACCTCAAACTACCACAACATTGTTCATCAGCTATATGCCACTATAAAATAAAAAGTTTAAAATAAAAAAAGAAATCTGTTACGATGATGTTAGCTTTTCCCAGTGATTACAGACCTATGGACACCAGACCGCACTACCATGATTGATACACAGCAGGGCCCTGCTGGACGCACAGATTTTGCATGCATGCTAAGTTGCTTCAGTCGTGTCTGACTCTCTGGGACCCCATGGAATGTAGCCCACAAGGCTCCTCTGTCTATGGGATTCTCCAGGCAAGAATACTGGAGTGGGTTGCCATGCCCTCCTCCAGGGATCTTCCCCACCCAGGGCTCAAACCAATGTCTCTTATGTCTTCTGCACTGACCAGGTGGGTGGGTGGGGGAGGGAGGTGTTCTTTACCACCAGTGCCCCCCGGGGAAGCCCCCACTAAAAGCTCACACAATGTTGCTCTCAAGGTTCTACCAACTCACTGGAGTTCCCTTCTCTAGTATCAGTTGCTGTTGCTTTACACATAAGGACCAACCTTCCGGAGGTTTCTGATCTTCTGACTTAGATATTTTACTAAATTCAAAGGTAACAAGCCTGTTGTTGTCAAGTAACACAGGGGTCAGATCTACGGTGTGACAAACTCTTTGCCTCAGGCATGAAATTTAAGAGGAACCAAAAAATTCAGTAACCAAGATGAATACATTTTTAAATAACAGCTTAACTGATATGCAACTAACATACCATAAAGTGTACCATATTAAAGGGTGCAATTCAGTGGTTTTAACAGACTCACTAAATCTGTCACTATCAAATTCGAAGACATTTTCACTGTCCCACAAAGAAACCCTGTCCCCATTAGCAGGTACTCCATTATTCTCCCTATGCCCAGCATCTGACAACCACTGATCTATTTTGTCTCTACAAATCTGCCTTTTCTGGATATTTGATATAAATGGAACACATAACATGTGGCCTTTTATGTCTGGCTTCTCCCACTTAAAATGTTTCCAAGTTCACACATGTTGTAGCATGAGACTGTACTTCACTCCTTTTTATGAATGACTAACGTTCTATTGTATGAACATACCACATTCTACCCATTCATCAGCTGATGGACACCAGGACTGTTTCCAGTTTAGGGCTATTACACACAAACTGGTGTATAAGTTTTTATATTACACATAAACTGGTGTATAAGTTTCAATTCTCTTAGGTATATGCTTAGGAAGGAAATTGCTGGCTATATCATATCTCTGTGTTTATAATTTGAGTAACCAGCAACAATTTTCCAAAGTGGCCACACTGTTTCACAGTTCCACCACCAATGGATCAGGGTTCCAATAGTCATCAATACTTGGTATTGCCTGTATTTTCTAGGTCAGCCATCTTAGTGGAGAGTAGTGATTATCTCGTTGTGCTTTTCATTTTTTTCTCCCTAATAACCGAGGCTCACCACCTTTTAATAAGTATAATAGCCATTAGTATATCTTCTTTGGAGAAATATCAACTTGAAGTCTTTGCCCAACTTTTAGTTGGGTTGTTTATCTTTATATGGGCTTCCCTCATGGCTCAACTGGTAAAGAATCTGCCTGCAATGCAGGAGACCTGGGTTCAATCCCTGGGTTGGGAAGATCCCCTGGAGAAGGGAAAGGCTACCTACTCCAGTATTCTGGCCTGGAGAATTCCATGAACTATACAGTCCATGGGATCCCAAAGAGTCAGACACAACTGAGCGACTTTCACTTTCACTTTCTATCTTTATATAATTGAGTTGCAACCATTCTTGATCTATTTGGTATATAAGTTCTTATTACAAACATAATTTGTAAAAATTTGCTCCCCCCTTCTATGGGCTTTTTGTTGATGATACTCTCTAAAACCCATTTTTATGAAGCCCAACCTAAATGTGTTTTCTTTTACTACTTGTATGTTTTTGATATCATAGCTAAGAAACCATTGCCTAGTCTAAGATCACAAAAATTTACTTCTGTGTTTTCTTCTAAACATCTTTTCGTTTCAGCTTTGACAATTTTTGCCTCACTCAGTGAAATTTTGTTCTCATACTGTTTTGGAAAAAAGGAATTTACAGAATGTCCTCATTCTAACATTCCAGAGGTGGTTCCAAGATAAATGATATTTTTAAAATTAAAAATTAATGCAAAAATATTCATGGTGAACAATATCAGAAGTTTAAAACACAATCAGCAAAATTTTTTTAAAATATGATCAGTAACATGATTAGTCATCATATGCCATATTGGAGTCTTACACAAAAGACTCTTATTTTTTTATTTTTTATTTTTTTACAAAAGACTGTTTTAAAATGTTTGTCTTTTTAAAATGTGTGCTAATTAGTTCATGAATTTTTGCATTATTTTTTATTTTTTAACCATATTAAAATATTGTTTATTTTCATTGCTTAGGTTTTTAGTACCCCCTTAAACTTTGTGCTTGAGACAACTGCCTGACTCATCTCTTTCTAGTCCCAACCCTGCACAAGGGTGATTTTCAGACCTCATATCTGTTTTCTTCTGTTTTAACTCTCCGAACTGAGATATTAGTTCTAACTCACATTTATACTCCATTACAATACCTTGGATAGTTGTCAAAATGATAATTCTAAAACAGCAGAAAAAATTCAGTATGAAGTTTGGGAGCAGAACACAAAGTAGTTATATTAAACTAACTTCCTCTGCTGGTAGAAGCATATTGACTTTCTCAGTATAAAACATATTACTAGCTACCACTTAAACTAAAATTTGTTAATACTAGAGTCTTTGGGAAATTAAATGCAATTTTTGGCATGTCTGTCATTCACACTTCCTAAGATATTATTCAACATGAAGACAAAACGCATCAAGCTTAGAAATATTCATTTCAACCACAATTATTCTGTTGCATGATTTCAGTTCTCAAATTGGCTTCCCCATAAAATAAACTGATAGAAATATAACAATCAGGTACAAAGATATGCTTGGTTTAATATGCAGCAACATTTACAACCTGAGAAGGCAATTATTTGTGTGTAAAGAAGGGTTGTCTGCCTTCAGAAGCTATTCTGAGTAATTTCAAACAGCCTCGTACAAAGATAATTAATTCTGGATGATTTGAGATTGCTTCTCTTACACTGTCATTTAACAGCAATAGTGCTCCCATTAAGTTTTCAGAACAGTATCTTGCAGTAAGTCTGGTCAAGCATAAAAATTTAACTTCTCTATGAGGTGTTCATTATTTGCTTCTGCTGTTGCGTTGCCTTTTCTTAAAATCCAAGGCTCTGTACTCCATGCTTCACCCATATTACTTTTGAAAAGCATTTAAAATCTCTATATCAATATTAGCATGTTTCTGGACAAATGCATTTGCCTTATTACAGTCTTTATAGAAGCTAATACACTATGTTGGCTTTTCATTTCTGCAGGTGAGTCAAAGTTCTCCAAGTCAACATCAACCTGTCACCGATATTGGCTCAGTCCTCATCACATGCACTGCTGCCTCACCTCCAGTGACTGTGTACACACTGCTTTGTTTGGCTAAGGAAACTGAACTGACTGGTGCAATGAGTCTGCAGGTACACAAGGGATCACAAGACTAATAAGGAGAAATCTTGAAGGGTCATACAACCTACCCGCTACGGGACAGGAGAAGAACATCGACCTAGAGAACAAATCTCAATCTTACACTTAAAAAAATCACTCAACAGACTGAGTTAACAGTCTCTTCTCCTATCTAAACTCTGGCAATGAAACAGAAATAAGAAAAGAAACCAAAATAATAATTACCTACAAATGATATGATTGTCTACTTAGAAAATTCAAGAAAAATAACCAAAAAGAGGTTAGAATTGATCAAAGCTTGAAAAGTGCCCAATTACACGATTGTATCTTAAAATCAATAGGTTTCCACACATAAAGTATTGGTTAAATATATCCTACAGTCTGAATGTTTGCGTTTCTCCAGAATTCATATGTTAAAAACCTAATGCCCAAGATAATGGTGTTAGGAGGTGGGGACTTTGGAAGGTGAGTGGATCATGAGGGCAAAGCCTTCAAAAGAATGAGATTGCGTGAGCGTGCTAAGTCGC